GTATTGGATGTATGGTGTGATTTGCTTACTCCTGAACATTGGTAAAAATCGAACATTTCCACTATACAGTGGACCCCCGCTTAACGATCACCTCCCAATGCGACCAATTATGTAAGTGTATTTATGTAAGTGCATTTGTACGTGTATGTTTGGGGGTCTGAAATGGACTAATCTACTTCACAATATTCCTTATGGGAACAAATTCGGTCAGTACTGGCACCTGAACATACTTCTGGAATGAAAAAATATCGTTAACCGGGGGTCCACTGTACTTTGATCTCAATTTCAAGGTCGTTTTCATTGTGAAACTAATCAAAATCATGTCCATTTCTGTAATATGTTCTCCATGTTATCACGTGAGACCATGAAAACGAGAATACAACGATAAATACTACACGAAACAACACCTCAAAGTCGGCATTTTAATCCAAAAAAAACGATCAGTTTTTCTTTTCTCATTATGCACTGCGTGCTGCACGATTTTTTTTATGTGGTGCACATTGACTACACAGACCCATTCTCTCACATGTGGGCCTACCAGCTTTCTCCTGCTTGATTTGAAGCCACTAGAATTTATGCGTATTAATACGTCCGAAACACTGGCTCGTAAGACGTATATATATGACCAAAACACTACCAGAAATCACATATTACATAATCCACCAGATTTGATTATACCATGTACAACATTTTACTGAAGGGTGATTTTTTTTGCTGAGCCTTCTCTAGACTTAAATATGACTCTCCTACCTGGAGTTTACCTGAAGAGAGTTCCGGGGGTCAACGCCCCCGCGGCCCGGTCTGTGACCAGGCCTCCTGGTGGATCAGAGCCTGATCAACCAGGCTGTTGCTGCTGGCTGCACGTAAACCAACGTATGAGCCACAGCCCGGCTGGTCAGGAACCGACTTTAGGTGCTTGTCCAGTGCCAGCTTGAAGACTGCCAGGGGTCTGTTGGTAATCCCCCTTATGTATGCTGGGAGGCAGTTGAACAGTCTCGGGCCCCTGACACTTATTGTATGGTCTCTTAACGTGCTAGTGACACCCCTGCTTTTCATTGGGGGGATGTTGCATCGTCTGCCAAGTCTTTTGCTTTCGTAGCGAGTGATTTTCGTGTGCAAGTTCGGTACTAGTCCCTCTAGGATTTTCCAGGTGTATATAATCATGTATCTCTCCCGCCTGCTTTCCAGGGAATACAGGTTCAGGAACCTCAAGCGCTCCCAGTAATTGAGGTGTTTTATCTCCGTTATGCGTGCCATGAAGGTTCTCTGTACATTTTCTAGGTCAGCAATTTCACCTACCTTGAAAGGTGCTGTTAGTGTGCAGCAATATTCCAGCCTAGATAGAACAAGTGACCTGAAGAGTGTCATCATGGGCTTGGCCTCCCTAGTTTTGAAGGTTCTCATTATCCATCCTGTCATTTTTCTAGCAGAGGCGATTGATACAATGTTATGGTCCTTGAAGGTGAGATCCTCCGACATGATCACTCCCAGGTCTTTGACGTTGGTGTTTCGCTCTATTTTGTGGCCAGAATTTGTTTTGTACTCTGATGAAGATTTAATTTCCTCGTGTTTACCATATCTGAGTAATTGAAATTTCTCATCGTTGAACTTCATATTGTTTTCTGCAGCCCACTGAAAGATTCGGTTGATGTCCGCCTGGAGCCTTGCAGTGTCTGCAATGGAAGACACTGTCATGCAGATTCAGGTGTCATCTGCAAAGGAAGACACGGTGCTGTGGTTGACATCCTTGTCTATGTCGGATATGAGGATGAGGAACAAGATGGGAGCGAGTACTGTGCCTTGTGGAACAGAGCTTTTCACCGTAGCTGCCTCAGACTTTACTCTGTTGACGACTACTCTCTGTGTTCTGTTAGTGAGGAAATTATAGATCCATCGACCGACTTTTCCTGTGCGCTATTACGCCATGGCCACACTTGTCGAAGGCTTTTGCAAAGTCTGTATATATTACATCTGCATTCTTTTTATCTTCTAGTGCATTTAGGACCTTGTCGTAGTGATCCAATAGTTGAGACAGACAGGAGCGACCTGTTCTAAACCCATGTTGCCCTGGGTTGTGTAACTGATGGGTTTCTAGATGGGTTGTGATCTTGCTTCTTAGGACCCTTTCAAAGATTTTTATGATATGGGATGTTAGTGCTATCGGTCTGTAGTTCTTTGCTGTTGCTTTACTGCCCCCTTTGTGGAGTGGGGCTATGTCTGTTGTTTTTAGTAACTGTGGGACAACCCCTGTGTCCATGCTCCCTCTCCATAGGATGGAAAAGGCTCGTGATAGGGGCTTCTTGCAGTTCTTGATGAACACGGAGTTCCATGAGTCTGGCCCTGGGGCAGAGTGCATGGGCATGTCATTTATCGCCTGTTCGAAGTCATTTGGCGTCAGGATAACATCGGATAGGCTTGTGTTAACCAAATTTTGTGGCTCTCATAAAAAATTCATTTTGATCTTCGACTCTCAGTCTGGTTAGCGGCTTGCTTAAAACTGAGTCATATTGGGACTTGAGTAGCTCACTCATTTCCTTGCTGTCATCTGTGTAGGACCCATCTTGTTTAAGTAGGGGCCCAATACTGGATGTTGTTCTCGACTTTGATTTGGCATAGGAGAAGAAATACTTTGGGTTTCTTTCGATTTCATTTATGGCTTTTAGTTCTTCCCGCGATTCCTGACTCCTATAAGATTCCTTTAGCTTGAGTTCGATGCTTGCTATTTCTCTGACCAGTGTCTCCCTACGCATTTCAGATATATTGACCTCTTTTAGCCGCTCTGTTATTCTTTTCCGTCACCTGTAAAGGGAGCGCCTGTCTCTTTCTATTTTACATCTACTCCTCCTTTTTCTTAGAGGAATAAGCCTTGTGCATACATCGAGTGCCACCAAGTTAATCTGTTCTAGGCATACGTTGGGGTCTGTGTTGCTTAGTATATCTTCCCAGCTTATATCGGTTAGGACTTGGTTTACTTGGTCCCACTTTATGTTTTTGTTATTGAAGTTGAATTTGGTGAATGCTCCCTCGTGACTAGTCTCATTATGTCGGTCTGGGGCTCCACGCATACATGTCTGAACCTCAATTATGTTGTGATCTGAGTATATTGTTTTTGATATGGTGACATTTCTTATCAGATCATCATTGTTAGTGAAGATGAGGTCTAGTGTATTCTCCAGTCTAGTAGGCTCTATTATTTGCCTGTTTAAATTGAATTTTGTGCAGAGATTTAAAAGCTCGTGTGAGTGTGAGTTTTCATCAGAGCTGCCTCCTGGTGTTATTACTGCAACAATATTATTTGCTATATTCCTCCATTTTAGGTGCCTTAAGTTGAAATCCCCCAGGAGCAAGATGTTGGGTGCAGGAGCTGGAAGATTTTCCAGACAGTGGTCAATTTTTAACAGCTGTTCCTGGAATTGCTGGGATGTTGCATCCAGAGGCTTGTAGACTACCACAATGACTAGGTTTTGGTTCTCGACCTTTACTGCTAAAACTTCCACTACATCATTTGAGGCATTTAGCAGTTCTGTGCAAACAAGTGACTCTGCAATGTACAGGCCAACCCCCCCCCCCCCTTTTGCCTGTTCACTCTGTCACATTTGTATAGGTTGTAACCTGGGATCCATATTTCGTTGTCCAAGTGATCCTTTATGTGGGTCTCAGTGAAAGCCGCGAACATTGCCTTTGCCTCTGCAAGCAGTCCACGGATGAAAGGTATTTTGTTGTTTGTTGCTGGCTTTAGACCCTGTATATTTGCAAAGAAGAATGTCATCGGACTGGTGGTATTGTTGGTACTGGGGGGGGATTTTTTTTCCGGCATTAGTATCTGTATCTGTTGGTTTGGAGTGGAGGCCATCAACTGTGGTTCCACTCCAGGAATGACTTGATTTGGTGTACGATTTCTGCCATTTCCTGCCAGTTTTTTTTCCTTCCTGGCACTAAAAAACCTCTCCCTCTTGAGTGGCTGTGGCTACAGGTTTTCCCATGGCCTGGATGTTTTGTATCTTTTTGTACCCTTTAGATGGTGTGCCTGGCAATTTAAGTTATAGCACAGTCTTTCCTGTACTGAAGAGGTACACATTTCAGGGTGAAAAAGCTTACAGGAAGGGAGTTTGCATTTTCCTGTTGTCATATGGGCATGGCATTTTCTAGGGTGGTCATAGTTGCACGTCCCGTCTGTTTTTCCAGATTTCCCATGTCTGCAGATACCAAGTGCATAGTATGTGCACAGGCTTGGTTTCCGTTTGCCTTGGGTTTCTGTGACTGTATTCCCTCTTGGTGCATGTTTCCCTGTCTTATTCCTATCCTCCCTAGCACCAACAATGGAGCTCCCACCAGTTGTTTTTGGTAATATATCCTCACTATAGCTAGTGGAATCCTCTTGTTTGCTATTTCCTGTGGTATTTCTAGTTTGCAATATTGGTTTTATCTTATCTTTGACTACACTTGTTTCCCCACTACGGCTCCTGTCCCCTATGAGGTCATTTATATGTATTCCTTCCTGCGTATAATTCCCGACTACCTGGACAAAATCTCCAGCTTCCCCATTACTGTCTCCCAGGACAGCACCTCCAGCTTCACCATTACTGTCTCCCAGGACAGCACCTCCCGCTTCACTATTACTGTCTCCCAGGACAGCATTATCAGCCCCACATTTACTGACTACCATGACATCACCTCCAGCCTTACAGTTTCTGACTACATGGCCAGTATCAAGGGCAGTACGATTCAGCCCAGACTTTTTATGTTCCCATCTGTTGTAGAAAGCTTCCAGGTTGTCTATGAAAGCAGCTTTCCCCCCCTAACAAAAAATGATAAATTAATACAAGTGTTCTGTACTTCAGGACATTGTAATTATTTTGCTATAGTTTTATTGCAACTGAAGAAAAAACATTTGCTTTTCACCTGCTAATATTATAATATTAGATCAGGATGGAAATCCACCTGTTAATATTATAATATCAGATCAGGTTGGAAACTATCATGATGATAATTCAACTAACCTGGCTTGTAAAATAACCAAAAGCAAATCCAGATAAGATCCATCCTTGCCAATACAAACTCCATTTATATTCACTTGCCATGGGCACAATGGCTAGTGGCATAAGAACTCTGTCTGCTGCATTGATGAAGTTGGCAACAGAGCAGAGCACCACTACTTTTGATTTGTATCCAAATGAGCGCCACTGACACTTCATCCTGTAAAAAAAATATGGTCACACTACTAGGGCTACAAGACATTACTTGTGAATAACCTAAGTAATTTATTTAGAGGGACGGAATATGAAAGGACACGTAGAACTTCATGTTCCAGTTAAATATGATTAAATAATAAAGCTTCTCATGTGTTATCACAAATTACTGCAACTCTTTTTAACAAATCCATTGAATCTTCCACCTTCCCATCCATACTCAAGATAGCAAGGATCACCCTGATCCTCAAAGGAGGTGATCCAACTGAACTGAACAACTATAGGCCTATATCAAATTTGCCCCTATTATCTAAAATCTTCGAAAAATTAATTCACAAACAAGTCTTCTACTACTTGAATAACTATAGACCAATATCTAACTTACCACTGTTCTCTAAAATCTTTGAAAAATTAATTCATAGACAGATCTATTCCTACCTCGTTTCACACAACATATTAAACCCTTGTCAGTTTGGATTCAGGAATAATAAAAGCACAAATGACGCTATCACACACATGCTAGAACTAATATATACCGCACTTGAAAAGAAAGAAGTCCCGCTGGGCATTTTCATTGATTTACGTAAAGCTTTCGATACAGTCGACCATTAACTACTGTACTCCAAATTAATGCACTATGGTATCAGAGGCCACTCCCTCAACAACCTGAAGTCATACCTTAGTAACAGAGCTCAATATGTGTATGCAAATGATGCAAACTCTTCCACCCAACCAATCACAGTAGGAGTCCCACAAGGAAGCATCCTTGGACCACTCCTCTTTCTCATCTACATCAATGATATACCGAATGCATCACAGCTACTCAAACCCATATTATTTGCAGATGACACTACATATGTATTTTCCCATCCAAATGCAGTCATACTAGCAAACACAGTCAATGCTGAATTACAGAAAATATCTCCCTGGATGATGACTAACAAACTTACCCTGAACACTGATAAAACCTATTTCATTCAGTTTGGAAACAAAGCTGCAAATAATCCAATTAACATTACGCTAAATGGATCATCAGTCACAAGACTCAGAGGGAAAATTCCTAGGTATCCACCTTGACAGTAGCCTTAAGTTCCGGACACACATACAACAAATCACTAAGAAAATCTCCAAGACTGTAGGCATACTATCAAAGATAAGGTACTACGTTCCACAATCAGCTCTCCTGGCACTGTACCATTCACTCATATACCCTTATCTTACATATGGAATTTGTGCATGGGGATCAACAACATCAAATCACCTAAAACCCCTAATAACCCAGCAAAAGGCAGCAGTAAGAATGATAACAAATTCCCACTCCTGCCAGCATACTCCACCAATTTTCAAGTCTGAATCTGCTTACCATTAAGAACATCCATACTTATACATGTGCCTACTACATACACAGAACAATACACGCAAATATAAACTCCCCACTCAAACTTTTCCTCACCAACCTAAACAGGACACATGGCCACAACACAAGACACAGATCTCTTTTTGATATACCTCGTATCCATATCACACTGTGTAAAAACTATGCACATAAAGGGTCCCAAAATATGGAATTCATTACCAGAAGATATTAAAGTAACCCAGTCTGAAAATCAATTTAAGACTTCTCAAAAGCCACTTAATCACTCTAGACTAAATGCTAAATACTCAGTACACATTTACTCACCTATGTACTACCACATCATAAATGAAACAATCACATTGAACCTTTTATCCATTGTTGACAGGAATATAATTGAATCATTGTTTTTCACAAAAGCATTTTAGAATATAAATATGTATATCTTTGTATTATACAAATTTTGATTCATTTATAATTAATATTCTACTGTACAACTATGAAATAATTACTTTCCTACTGTACAACTATGATATACTACTCCTTAGTATTAAGTAGAATGTAAGCCAATAATGTTAAGTTGGCCCATAATGCCTAGGCATAATAGAGGCTCTCTTTGCATTGCAACCCACTATTGTATATACACAATCTCAATGTACTGTTTGCAAAGACATAAAATAATAAACAAATAAATAAATAAATAAATACTTAGTATCCCACAACATACTTAACCCCCTATCAGTTTGGATTTGCACTGAAAAAAGTACTAATGATGCAATTGTGCATATGCTTGAACTAATATATTCGGCACTCGAAAAAATGAAATTCCCCTGGTACTTTTCATAGACCTATGAAAAGCTTTTGATACAGTTGACCATGACCTATTGCACCTAAAACTTGAACATTATGGGGTCAGAGGTGACTCTCTTGATTACTTAAAATCTTATCTTAGCAATAGAAACTAGTATGTATACACAAATGGTGCTAATTCCACTACACAACCCGTTTTTGTTGGAGTCCAACTGGGTAGTGTCCTTGGCCCACTTCTCTTTCTCATTTACATCAATGACCTCCCAAATGCATTAACCCCTTGACTGTAACAACCCCCAATCCTGAGGTGTCTCCTGGTGTCACAAATTTAAAAAAAAATAAATAAATAAATAAATCTTATGAAATGATAGAGAATATTTTTCCGATTGTAATGAAACCAAAAAAATGGAATTTGATGGAAAACTGACGAAATTATGCTCTCGCGAAGTTAGCGACCTCAGCCATATTTACAAATCGGCGATTTTGCCCAATTTGAGCTCTATTTTTGGCTAATTCCATTGTTCCAGCCGACCAAACTCATAGCAATTTCTTTAGAACTCCATTTTTCCTATCGATTGAGTACAAGAAACTGCCCATTTACCGATTTCAACTACCCAATAACGTGGTCAGAAATTTGCAATTTGGCCAATTTCACGAAAATTAAAAAATATGACAATTTCAAAATAAGGTCCAGAATGAACAATGCAGACATTCCTGGCTCTAAAATAACATTTTCTTTCTTCATCAGTCATGTCTCCAGGCCCGTCTGATATTACTCTTGCTTTCTATTTGAATTTTTATTCAAACAAATAATAGAAGATTTGCTGTTATGCAGACTACTGCAATACTGTAATAATTGTACAAATAATGTCAACCCATTCATGACTGCATATTAGAATGGCTAGTTGGACATTTACTGGACAATGACATCATTTGTTTACTTTTGAACATCGGCAAAAATCAAACATTTCCCCTACTTTGAGCTCCATTTCCAGGTTCTTTTTATAGAAAAAAACAATTAAAATCACCTCTATTTCTATAAAATGTTTTCCATTCTATCAAATGAGACCAAGAAAACGAGAATTCAACCATAAATACTATACGAAAATACACCACAAATTCAGCATTTTAATTAAAAAAAAAAACGGTCGGAGTTTTTTTTTTTCTCATTATGCACTGCATGCTCCAGGATTTTATTTATATGGTGCACAGTGACCACACAGACCCATTCTCTCACATGTGGGCCTACCAGCTTTCTCCTGCTTGATTTGAAGCCACTAGAATTTATGTGTATATATACATCAAACTCAGTACCTCGTAAGACGTATATATACGACCGAAACAGTCAAAGGGTTAAACCCATTTTATTTGCAGTTGACACTACTTATGTCTTCTCTCACCCAAACCCAACTGTACTAACAGACACTGTAAATTACAAACTACTAAAAATATCTACGTGGATGGCTACCAACAAACTTACTTTCAATATAGACAAAACCTACTTCATGCTATTTAGAAACAGAGCTTTAAATGTACAGCTAAACATGCTGATAAATGGTTCACCCATTTCAAGACACACTGAGGGCAAATTTCTAGGTCTCCATCTTGATTGGTCTCTAATTCCAGACCCATATACAGTGGACCCCCGGTTAACGATTTTAATCCGTGCAAGAGGGGTAATTGTTATGCGAAATAATCGTTATGTGAATGAATTTTCCCCATAAGAAATAATGGAAATAAAATTAATCCGTGCAAGACACCCAAAAGTATGAAAAAAAAAATTTTTTACCACATGAAATATTAATTTTAATACACACAAACTGAAAAAGGCATGCACACTTACATGACACTTACTTTTATTGAAGATCTGGTGATGATTGATGGGATGGGAGGAGGGGAGAGCATTATCTTCTTACTGTTTAGAAGGGGAATCCCCTTCCATTACGACTTGAGGTAGCAAGTCCTTTTCCGGGGTTACTTCCCTTCTTCTTTTAATGCCACTAGGACCAGCTTGAGAGTCACTGGACCTCTGTCGCACAACAAATCTGTCCATAGAGCTCTGTACCTCCCGTTCCTTTACGATTTGTCTAAAATGGGCCACAACATTGTCATTGAAATAGTCACCAGCACGGCATGCAACAGCTGTGTCAGGGTGATTTTCATCCATAAAGGTTTGCAGTTCAACCCACTGTGCACACATTTCCTTAATCTTTGAAGTAGGCACAATGGATTCCACAACTGGCATAGGCTTCTCAGGGTTAGCCCCAAACCCTTCAAAATCTTTCTTAATTTCCATACTAATTCTCACCCTTTTTACCACAGGGTTGGCACTAGAAGCTTTCTTGGGGCCCATGGTCACTTATTTTCCAGAAACAGCACCGAAAACACTGTAATAATACGAAATATTCCGAGTGTATGCTTGGATGTTACCGCGGAGGCTGGCTGGTAAACAATGGGACGGGCGGCACATGTGAGGCTGGCTGAGGGCACATTGGACGCGTCTCGGACGAAAATCGGTGAGCGGGTTTTTAATCGGTATGTGCGGCAAAAATTTTGCGATAAAAGTAAGCGGTATGCGGAAAAATCGCTATGTGATGCCATCGTTATGCGGGGGTCCACTGTACAGCAAATATCCAGTATGCATCCTTTCAAAGATATGGTACTATGTACCCTAAATGGTTCTTTTTGCTATTTACCAGTCTCAATTACCCTTACCTCACCTATGGTATTTGTGCATGGGGCTCAACCACAGGAAATCGCCTTAAATCTTTAATAACCCAACAAAAAGCTCCAGTGCGACTGATTACCAACTCCTGCACAAGACAGCACACTCCACCGCTTTTAAAGAGCTTTAACGTGCTTAATATACAAAAAATCCACACTTATTATTGTACCTACTACACATACAGAACATTATACTTAAATATTAACCCTCCTCTCCAACTCCTCCTTAATAGCCACAACAGAACACACAGGCATAATACAAGGCACAAATCACTTTTCAAGATCCCTGATGTCCATGTCTCCCTATGCAAAAATGCTATGCACATAAAGGGCCAGAAGATCTGGAATTCATTGCCAGAACACACTAAAGGGCCAATGCCTGTAAATCAATTTAAGTCCCTACTTAAAAATCACTTCATCACCCAAAATTAACCAGACAAACACTTTACTTAACCCTTTGAGGGTCGACAGGCCCTCTCCGAAACTCGTTCTCAGGGTCGGCCAAATTTAAAAAAAAAAAAAAATTATTTTCTCTTATGAAAAGATAGAGAATCTTTTCCCGATCATAATGACACCAAAAGTTTGAAATTTGATAGAAAACTCACGGAATTATGCTCTCGCAAAGTTAGCGGTCTCGGCGATGTTTACGGATCGGCGATTTTGCCCACTTTGAGCCCCATTTTCGGCCAATTTCACTGTACTAGTCGACAAAAAACATGAATATTTCGCTAGAACTCCATTTTTTCTATCGAATGGGTGCAAGAAACCACCCATTTATAAATTCAACTATCCAGTACAGTGGTCAGAATTTAGCAATTTTGCCAATTTCACACAAATTTCAAAAGATGCCAATTTCGGAATAGGGTCCAGAATAAACAAGAAAGACATTCCTGGCACTAAAATGACATTTCCTCTAGTCATTAGTCACGTCTCAAGGCCCCTCTTATATTCTTTTGCTTTCCACTTTGAATTTTTATTCTCACAAAAAATATAAGATTTACTGTTATGCAGACTACTGCATTAGTGTAAAAAATGGTATAAATATTATTGGTGCACTTGTGAAAGAATATTAGACTCACCAGTTGACGTGTATTGCACGCTTGGCACGATTTGTTTACTTTTGAAGTTTGGTAAAAATCGAACATTTCTGCTACTTTGAGCTCAATTTCAAGGCACCTTTCATTGTAAAACCAGTCAAAATCATCTCAATTTCAGTAATATGTCTTCCATTCTATAAAATGAGACCAAGAAAACTAGAATACAACAATAAATACTATACGAAAATACACTGCAAAGTCGCTGATTTATTAAAAAGAAATGGAAAAAGTTTTTTTTTTCTCATTATGCACCGTGTGCTGCAGGATTTTTTTTAGACTGTGCACACTGACCACATAGACCCATTCTTTCATATGAAGGCCTACCAGCTTTCTCCCACTAGATTTGAGGTCGCTAGAATTTAAGAGTACTAGTACGTCAAAAACCCCTACGCGTAAGACGTACTAGTACGACGAAAACCCTCAAAGGGTTAACACCTATCAGTTACTCCAAAAAATCCTAAATAATTTATGGCTGCTCAACTAATTGATCACTTACTTCAAACATAAAATTGTTTCACTTTCATTACTGTATACTGTGTTTGATGACTACTCAACTATTTACTCATTACTTCAAACTTATAATTGTTTCAATTTAATTGTTTTAAATGGTGTTAAATTGTAATACTTCATATTGTAAATTCTGTTTGAATTTTCTCAACCATTTAATCATTACTTCAAACTTAAAATTCTTTCAACTTCATTATTTTAAATTGTTCTAAATTGTAATACGTACTGTATTTTTTATATACACGTATGTATACTACGTCAAAACTGTAATTATTTTCAACCAAACTTACTAAAGCCATACAGCATGAACTAGTTGAATACTATTCAATTTTCTTCTATTCACTGTAACTCACCTAATGACCATATGTAAAATTACAGCACTGTTATTGCCTTGTTAATATTAAGTTAGTCTTAAGCTTGCCCGAAATGCTCTGCATATAAAGGGGCTTTTGGCATGTTCACCAAATTGTTACACTCCTTTGTACAAACATGTAGCATGCTAAAATAAACTTGTTATTGTTAGAAAACTATGTATATTTAAAGATCTACTACCTTGGACTTTTAAAAGCTAATGGAAGCAAATGCCAGGAATATCACTAATGTTACCAAATCATCAATTAGACAGAGGTCTTGGATATTTTACTACCAGTGATGAGTTCACCCACATTACTGACATATATTTAAAAAGGCACTAAACCTGTACGAGTCATAAAGCACTGTCTCTTATATATAGTATAGTTAAATAACAAAAAGGCACAATACCGTGACTGGAACGATACACAAATAACATTGACTTTGTCAATGGTCCAAGTCGGACCGAAACGTCGTCGTAAGCTTCTGTCTTTTATGTGCAGGTTATTTGTGTGTGTATATAGTATAGTACCTTACAAATTTATTAACCCTTCAGGGCCCACAGGCCCTCTCAGAGACTTGTTCTCAGGGTCCCCCAAATTAAAAAAAAAAAAAAAAAAAAAAAAAAAAAAAAAAAAAAAAAAAAAAAAAAAAAAAAAAAAAAGTTATGAAAAGACAGAGAATCTTTTCCTGATCATAATGACACCAAAAGTATGAAATTCGATGGAAAACTTACGGAATTATGCTCTCGCAAAGTTAACAGTCTTGACGATGTTTACGCATCAGCGATTTTGCCCACTTTGAGCCCTATTTTCGGCCAATTCCACTGTACTAGTCGACAAAACTCATACCTGTTTCACCAGAACTCCATTTTTTCTATCGAATGAGTACAAGAAACCACCCATTTACCGATTTCAACTATCCAATATAGTGGTCAGAATTTAGAAATTTTGCCAATTTCACACAAATTTCAAAAGATGCCAATTTCCAAATAGGGTCCAGGATAAACAAGAAGGACATTCCTGGCATTAAAATAACATTTCCTCTGTTCATTAGTCATGTCCCCACGCCCCTCTTACATTCTTTTGCTTTCCATTTTGAATTTTTATTCTCACAAAAAAATAGAAGATTTACTGTTATGCAGACTACTGCATTTGTGTAGAAATGGTATAAATAATATCGGCGCACTTGTGAAAGAATATTAGACACACCAGTTGATGTGTATTGGACGCTAAGAATGATTTGTTTACTTTTGAACTTTGGTAAAAATCGAACATTTCTGCTACTTTGAGCTCAATTTCAAGGTACTTTTCATTGTAAAACCAGTCAAAATCATCCCAATTTCTGTAATATGTCTTCCATTCTATCAAATGAGACCAGGAAAACTAGAATACAACAATAAATGCCATACGAAAATACAGTGCAAATTCGCTGTTTTAATCCAAAAACACAGTCAAAGTTTTTTTTTCTCATTACGCACTGTGTGCTGCAGGATTTATTTTATACTGCACACACTGACCATATAGACCCATTCTTTCATATGTAGGCCTACCAGCTTTCTCTCACTAAATTTGAAGGCGCTAGAATTTATGAGTACTAGTACGTCAAGGACCCTGGCACGTAAGCCGTACTAGCGCGGCCGAAACCCTGAAAGGGTTAAAATCTACTGGCAAGCATTCACATAAGCAAAATTACATTATCTCAGGGTTATACAGTAATGTAACAAATCACTAAACCTGCCACCTGGGTAACCCACTAAGTTTGGCGATTTGAAAAGTCAGCGACTTCACCAAACACAGTGAAGGTTCGATCCTCCAACAGGTAATTCTGGTTAAGTCTCTGCCCAGTCTCTGATCACTTGCATTAAGCTTATAAAAGAAAACTAAACATGATCTCACCAAACTAACAATCCACACATGTTCTCCAACATACAAAATAGTTTGTTGACTAGTTTAGGTTAAGCTGTGTATAATTTATAGGGATACCTAGACAGGTCACTGACTTTCCAAATTACCTAAGTGAATGAGTTATCCTGGTGGCAGCTCAGTAACCTGGTAGAAAACACTTACAAGTTATTTTAAAACATAAATGTATTATGCATTAATGTACCCGCTATCATTTATAAGAAATGGTTAAATTGGTCTACAGTTACAAGGCAGCATGCCGAAACTTACATACAGAAGATAACAATAATATAAATTTAAGCGCTAAACCCGTAATACTGAAAAATATCGGCGACTTCTGACCGACTGGTAACTCTGGAATATTAAGATCACTCACATTATTCAAAGGTTAGTATCAATAGTTTCCTTAAGTACAATGACTTGATTATTTTTCACAAAACTTACAAAACTACAGCAGTAACTTTTAGTAATATTTTGACTAATGATGGAAAGTATGCTTAAAAGTAAAGTTTGCCATATGTATTCTACACAGAAGTTAGCTTCTTAATGGTGCGCTGACCTGTGACACTCTCATTCCATATAACATCTGTCCCTTGAATGTCAAAGGCACCAGCGCTGCTGAACACAAAATATGAACACAAAAGCAGTGTCGAGTTGGCACAGACAACCACACGTCAAGTCCTCCAGTGTTCGTTCATTTTGACAGTCAACAAAAAATTCTCAGAAAGCTCGCATATAAAATCCTTATTAATAATGGAAAATATCAGCATTTTTAAACACGTATTATTATTTCAATTTAATTAGGTGCATAATATGTACAAAATTTAAATTTTTGATAAGACTAATAAGAGTGATTAAAGCCAAGAATAAAGACATTCGACGAAGTCAAGTTTCGTAAACAATTCTTACTCAAGATAAAAAAAATATATATTTTTTTTATATATTTTTATAAGCCATTCACAGAAGTTATATTTCAGTTGGATACATTTTATATAATTATAATATAAATATAATTTGATATACAAATGAAATCTCAAAAGAAAGCTACTTATGCAAAGTCTCTCTTATACTGCTTTTATTTTACAGAATAAACCTATCTTAAAGACCGCGTTGTTTGTCTGATATGCTTGTAAGATTATAATAAATTTATACATTAAATAAATTATTGTAATACATCTTTTAAACAAATTAAATCATTCATCAACAGCAACAGCAACAACATCAGCAGCAACACGTGGTAATCTGCCTGGAGTGACAGTCAATATTACTACAACATAACTACACTTACTCTACATCACAACTTATGTAATTTGAGAAGACTGTAGTATTGAAAACAGAATGACCGGGCTTCCCATCTTTAAACCATAAATGTACCAGCTTCATTGAAATTTTAAAAGGGGGAACCCCCCATAGCGGGTAAAAATAAATATAAAATAATAATACTAATTTTTTATTTAAAAAAGTAATGGAACGGGCCCAAAAGAAAACAACAATGACATACATACCCTTTGTTATTCAGAGCACTTGGGGCAGATTGGGTCGTACCCCCGGGACGCCCCCCACCCCATCCATAACACCCAGGTACCTAATTCGCAACGTGTTTTCAAATTCAAAGTTTATTCCTAAAAGTTTTTAAAATGCTGAGTTTACAGAATTTGTTTATTGGTGGTTTAATGTATAAAAAAAATTACAGAGTTCCACAGAACACATACGGCTAGGCTTTTCGGGCAGACTAGAAAAATTTAATTTTTAAAATATTAAAAATTATGAGGAAATTTTGGTTTAGGGCTAATGACAAAATACTTTTTGTGAGTTTAGCAATGGAAAATGTTTTGTTTTGGACATACTAGTTTCGTATTGGAGTATCACGGCCAATTAACATTTTAAAGTTTCATTTTTTTAAAATTGAGATTGATATTTTTGTTTATGGTCAAAGGGGTGAGTGAGTGTAAGGGGGAACCACCAGTGGTATTGTATTATGGGGTTGACGGGTGTATCAGGGGGTAAGTTTTTCTGATGGTATTTTTAAGGGAGAAAGTGTCTGCAGGTTTTAGAATTTTCGGTAGGGTGTTCCAGATTTTAGGGGTTTTCAACATTGAATTTTTTTTGAAGGTTTTTGTCGGACAGGGGGAATGTCATAGAGTGTTTGTGTCTGGTGTTGTGCCTGTGGTTCTGTCAAAACTATCAAGAAAGCGTTTTAGGTCAAGGTTAATATTGGAATTTAAGGTCCTGTAATATAGATTGCACAGTAGTAAGTGTGGATGTACTGAACAGGGAGTAAGTTTAGATCTATGAAGAGTGGGGGGGGGGTGTTGCCAGGGATGGGATTTAGTGATTATTCTTACTGCAGCTTTTTGTTGGGTTATTATTGGCTTTAGGGTGTGTTGCTGCAGTTAAACCCCCAAGCACAGAAGCATAGGTGAGGTATGGATATTTTAAGTGAAGGGTATAGTGTGAGAAGGGCAGTTTGGGCGGCACGTAGTATCATATCCTGGAGAGGATCCCAACCGTTTTGGATACTTTTTTGGTTATGTGTTGTTTATGGGTGCTGAAGTTCAGGTTGTTGTCGAGGTATAGGCCTAGGAATTTGCCCTCATTATGCCGGGCAATTAGAGTGTTGTCGACTTAATGTTAATTTGCACATCTCCTGCTCTGTACCAAACATAATGTAGTAGGTTTTGTCGTGTTAAGCGTAAGTTTATTGGCTGTCATCCAAGTCGATATTTTGATCAGCTCCTCATTAACAATGGTGTTGAGGGTGGCAAGATTAGGGTGAGAGATGACATAAGTCGTGTCGTCAGCAAAGAGAATGGGGTTCAGGTGTTGAGATACGTTTGGAAGATCATTGATGTATATGAGGAAGAGCAGGGGACCAAGGACATTTTCCTGCGGAACTCCAGTATAAAGTGGCTGTGTTGTTGATGCTGTGTCTTTAATGGTGACATATGATACCTATTAATAAGGTAAGATTTGAAATATGCAAGCGCATGGCCTCTTATACCATAATGGTCAAGTTTGTGGAGTAGGATGCCGTGGTCTACGTGTCAAAAGCTTTTCTTAGGTCAATAAAAATTCCTAGGGGATATTCCTTATTTTCCAATGCTGTGTAAAGCAGATCTAGCTTTTTATGATTGCATCGTTAGTGCTTTTATTTTTCCTGAATCCAAATTGGCAGGGGTTGAGTATGTTTTTGTGCCGTTATAAATGAATATGTCTCCTGTGCACGAGTTTCTCAAAGATTTTGGATAGAAATGGTAAGTTTGATATTGGCCTATAGTTGTTAAATCTGTAGGGTCACCACCTTTATGTATTGGTGTAACCCTTGCCGTTCTTTAGTAGTTTCGGGAAGGTGCTAGTTTCTAGTGACTTGTTTTAAAAAATAATGAGATAGCATGCGAGAGGACATGGGCCCGCCTTCTTGTACAATAATGGTGGGACATGAACAGATTCCCTGAGTTTTTTTAAGTGACATTATAATCTCAGTGACTTCCATGGGCTCAGTTGGAGCAAGATAGAAGGAATTTGGGAAATTCCCATCTAGGTAGTCCCCGGCATGGGCATTGGTGCGTGGGATTTTATTGGCGAGATTAGAACCTATGGTTGAGAAGAAGTCGTTTATCTTGTTAGCTGTGTCAGTGGGATGCAGTGGTGTTTCATTAGGTTTAGTTAGGGCAATATTCTTGGGGCAATATTCTTAGGGCAATATTCTATGGGTGAACATAGACAACTGGTGTAAAGAAACACGCCCAATGTTTCTACCCTGGCTGGGAATCGAACCCAGACCCTCGCCGTGTGAAGCGAGAGCTTTAGCCACCAGGCTTCAGGCACAGGTACACAGTTATACATAGTGTACATTACCTAGGATAACCCCAAAATTCAAAGTGACTTTACACATCCCTCAGGAAAGTTATGTCTGTAATCATGCTACCCTTATATGGAGGTGCCTGGATGCCACTTAACAAATTTTATTTCTTTGCAAGATTACATTGAGATTATGAAATTACAATTATGAGTTGCAATGCAAAGAGAATCACTGTCATGCCTAGGCATTATGCGCAGACTTAATTTAATGGCTTACGGGCTACTTAATACTAAATAAATTAATCGTAGTTTAAGTTGCACATCTTTTTTTATTTATAATAGACATTAATTGTACTCAAATTACAATAGTTTCAATAATAAATATTGAAATTATATTATGGGAATATAACATTGTGAGTTGTTGAAAGTAATTTACAATATGAGAGTGCTACAATTGGGTGTAAGGCAGTATTGTTTTGGGTAGGTATTTTTACTACAATGTAGTCAGTGTATGAACTTTGGGTATCTAGTTTTGAAGTTTTAAGATTTAAGTAATTGGGAGATTTTTTGGTAAAGTTAAATATTGAGTATTTAGTTTAGGGTGAGTAAGTGGTTTTTGAGAAGTCTCAAATTGATGTTCAGACTGGGTTACTTTAGTATTTACTGGTAATGAATTCCAAATTTTGGGGCCCTTTATGTGCATAGAGTTTTTACACAGTGTGATATGGACTCTGGGTACATCAAAAAGAGATCTGTGTCTTGTGTTGTGGTCGTGTGTCCTGTTACAGTTGGTGAGGAGAAGTTTGAGTGGAGGGTTTATGTTTGAGTGTAGTGTTCTATGTATGTAGTAGGCACATGAATATGTATGGATGTTCTTTATGGTCAGCAGTTTTAGATTTTTGAATATTAGTGGAGTATGCTGTCGTGAGTGGGAATTTGTTATCATTCTGACTGCAGCCGTTTGCTGGGTTATTAATGGTCTTAGGTGATTTAATGTTGTTGATCCCCATGCACAAATTCCATATGTGAGATAAGGGTAGATGAGTGAATGATACAGTGCAAAGAGAGCTGATTGTGGAACATAGTACTGTATCTTTGATAGTATGCCTACTGTCTTACAGATTTTCTTGGAAATTTGTTGTACATGTGTCAGAATTTGAGGCTACTGTCAAGGTGGATTCCTAGGAATTTTCCTTCTGTGAGTCTTGTGATGGGTGAACCGTTTAGCGTTATATTAACCCTTTCACTGTTTCAGCCGTATATATGCGACTTACAAGCCAATATTTTTCAATGTATTAATATGCGTAAATTCTGGCAGTTTCAAATCAAGCGGGAGAAAGCTGGTAGGCCTACATGTGAGGGAATGGGTCTGCATGATGGGTGTGCGCTGAATGAAAAAATTCAGGGACTCAGTGGTGCATTGTGGGAGCGCCATTTTAGTAGTCCTTGTTCACCATGCCTCACGGTAAGAAGTACCTTACTCCCTGGCGAACTGGAAGTATTTTGTTCCCAGGTGATAGCTCTAACACCAGTGGAAGTGCCAGTGAAAGTAAATTTCATGGTTTTGTGGAGGATGTGACCAAAAGCAGTGCCCAAGATAACGCAATTAGTGATGAAAACCCAGATGACCCACAACCTTCCACCGCTGGTGCTGGGCCGTCTCATTAACGTTCACCTGTACCAGGGCGAAAGAGGAAACTATGTCTCCGTGTACAGGATTCAGATGTGAGCAGTAAAAGTGATAGTGATATTGATTTCCAAGCTATTGAAAGTAGTTCGAGTTGTGACAGTGAGGGGAAATATTCTCCAGTGAAACGGTAGTATGTACAATACAGCATGTATTCTAGTAGTGTGCCATATGCCATTCCAAAAGGAAGTAGTATATCATGGAGGACATCCTCTGACCCTACACCACGGACTGATAGTGAAGATGACGATATTGTTACAATGGGGATGCATAATGTGCATGGGGCAGCAGGTGGTGTTGGTAATAAGTGTTGGTGGTGGCGTGAGTCGTGTAGCACCAAGAGCGGGCCACACTGCTACCCACACTGCTAACTCAGCACAGCCAGAACAGAGGTCATCCTCAACCACCCCCACACTCCCACAACCTGCACAACCACAATCTGCACAACCACAACCACCTGTCAATATCCAGTACCCACCAGCAGACTGCATCTGGGATTGGCAGGAAGGTGCCAATTTTGTTCCCAATCCCCATCACTTTGATGAAACACAAAGTGGAATACGGCCATCGTGTACACTTTGGAACAATGCCACTGAACTGGAATGCTTTCAGTTATTCTTCGATGAACCCTTGATGGACATCATTGTCAGGCAAAGTAACACATTCTTTGAATACACAATGGCAAACACAATTCTTTCACCAAGATCATGGCTACACAAGTGGAAGGACACAACTGTGGCAGAGATGTATCTGTTCTTTGCCACAATAATGCTTATGCCACATGTGTATAAGCACACTGTCACCACATACTGGTCGATGGAATGCCTGATTTCAACCCCAGATTTTAGTGATATTATACCAGTGAATAGATTTCTGCTACTGTTACGTATGCCACACTTCTCAGACAAAACAGTGCCTGACAGAAACGACAGGTTATATAAGATCATGAATGTGTTCATGTACCTGAAACAAAAGTGCTGTATGTATTTTTATCCCTTCAGGAAGCTTGTTATTGATGAGTCTTCGATTTTGTTCAAAGGCAGACTGTCTTTCAAGCAGTATATACCAAGCTAGAGGAAATGCTTTGGTATAAAGTTATTTGTACTGTGTGATTGCAAAAGTGGTCTGGTTTTGGATATAATTGTGTACACTGGCAGTCATACATTGAGAGATACCAGGAAGTTATTGGGTATCTCTGGTGATGTGGTTAGAACAATGATGGAACCATATCTTGTTAAGGGGCATATATTATATACTGATAACTGGTACACAAGCCCCTTACTCAGTGATTTCTTGCAAGTGAGCATGACAGATGTGTGTGGCACAGTGCGTGGAAGTCGTAAGCATATGCCTAGGTTCCACGCAGGCTCTCGTAGAGGTGAGGTGCAGGTGTTTGCTCCAATGACATCATGGCATTTCGGTGGCATGAGAAATGTGATGTCACATTGTTGACATCAATTCACTGAAACGAAATGGCAGACAGTGGCAGGCAAAATAGAGAGACCAATGAGCCCATTCTAAAACCTGCAGCTGTGATGGACCTCAGCCTCAATATGCACTTAGTGGACAAATGTGACATGCAAATTGGGTTTGCTGACTGTGTTCACAGGAGTTATAAGTGGTACATAAAACTTTTTTTCCATCTTCTTGACATTTCCATGCTGAATGCTTATAACATGTACAAGTTGAAGACCAAAGACAAACCACCTTATGGTGAATTTTGTTTGTCAGTCATCAGACAAATAATATTCAAGTGCCAAGGAACAACACCTGCAGTGGACCAGCGCCCACGAAATTATCAACACATACCCTCTCGTCTGAGGCCTGGTGATCACTACCCCATAAAGCTGCCTCAGAAGAGGTGTTTTGTCTGTGCACATACCACAAAACACCCACAAAAACGCAGACACTCGTTTTATGTGTGAGAAGTGTGAAGTACCACTGTGCATATACCCATGTTTCAAAGAATTCCACAAGCTGCAGCAGTTCTAGGAAAGTATCCAGTGACTGTACATTTGTATATATATTATAGAACAATAGTAATAAATAATTTTTTGTATTGTTTGTGTAAACAAGTTTTGTAAACAATATATTGATGATAATGTTTGTGTGCTTGTGTTGCATGCAAGTGTATATATGAACATAGCACTTTACTTTGGTCTCACAGGCCACATAAGTTACTTGGAAAAAAAATATTGAAAATTACAAGAAACCTTTGAATGGGACTAAATATAAGTGTACCGGGTGAGCGGCATTTGCCACTGTTGCCATACACGGCTCATTTTCTGCAAACTTTATGCCTCTATATCTCAGTACGTACTGATCGCAAAAAAAAAAAAAATTAGGCTTAAAACACTCGGCAAATTAATCCTAACATTTTGGTAAGAAAAATAATTTTTTTTTTAAATTTTGCGACATGGGAAGACAGTTTCAGAATAGGGCTTGCGACAGTGAAAGGGTTAAGTGGAACATTTGCAGCTGTTTCCAAACTGAATGAAATAGGTTTTGTCAGTATTAGTCATCATCCAGGTAGATGTTTTCTGCAATTCAGCATTAACAGTGTTGGCCAGTATGACTGGGTTTGGGTGAGAGAAGATGGATATGTATTGTGTAATTTGCAGATAATATGGGTTTGAGTAGTTGTGATGCATTCAATAGGTCATTGATGTAAGTGAGAAAGAAGAGTCGGCCAAGGACACTTCCTTGTGGGACACCAACTGTGATTGGTTGAGTGCAAGAGTTTGCTCCATTTGCGTACACATATTGGCTTCTGTTACTAAGGTATGACTTTAGGTAGTTGAGGGAGTGCCCTCTTATACCATAGTGTGTTAATTTAATGTGCAGCAAATCACGGTCAACTGTATTAAAAGCTTTACGGAAATCAATGAAGATTCCCAGCGGGACTTCTTTCTTCTCAAGAGCGGTGTATATTAGTTCTAGCATGTGTATAATAGCATCATTTGTGCTTTTATTAATCCTGAATCCAAACTGACAGGGGTTTAGTATGTTGTGTGAGACAAGGTGGGAATAGACCTGTCTATGAATTAATTTTTCAGCGATTTTAGAGAGCAGAGGTAAGTTAGACATTGGTCTATAGTTTTTTAAGTCTAGTTGATCACCTCCTTTGTGGATCGGGGTGACCCTCACTATTTTGAGAGTTGCTGGGAAGGTGGAGGACTTGATGGATTTGTTAGAGAGTGTTGCAATAATTGGTGACAGTACTTATGAAGCTTTTTTGATCTAGTGAAGTGGAGCTGCCCCATTTTTTCTTTGATCATGTCTGATTACCTCCCATTCCCAGGTCCAGTGTCACCCTTATGATTTAGCATCTCATGAAACCCATCACTGTATGCCAGATTTCTGATATTTAATGTTTATGTAACCTTATTGAGTAGTACTGTATTTTATTGAAATAGTGTTTTTGTGAGAAAACATAGAAACTAACTACAGAAATATTACATGACTATCTTTGAAATCTTTAAAAAAAACAAACAATAATGCTCTTTTAGCCTTAACTGGGCAAGGATTTTAATTTTTATAACATAGGTACAATAATTATATGTACAAAGGCTTGATACTTGCTTACACACTTCTAATTCACAGAGTTAGAGATCTTCAACACATATATTGAAGAAAATAAAACTGCAACAGATGTCATCTATAAATTTCTTCATGCAACCAAGAACTGTGAAGAAATTCTTGATTTGCTGACTGTGAAACAAGACGCTGCTGAACTTGCAGCAATTTTTACAGCACTTAGCCATATACTGCTCAAGTAAGATTATGTAAATAAAGTTAGAATTTTCATGTAGAGAGGTAGCAAAATTGTTTACCTGATTTATGCATATTCCTACTAATTATAATAATAATAATATCTTTATTTCTACAAGTACATGTACAAGGTATACAGACCATAACTGATATCAATGACATACTACTATATAGAAAGTGCCTTTTTTTTTTTTTTTTTTTATCACACTGGCCGATTCCCACCAGTGCAGGGTGGCCCGAAAAAGAAAAACTTTCACCATCATTCACTCCATCACTGTCTTGCCAGAAGGGTGCTTTACATTACAGTTTTTAAACTGCAACATTAACACCCCTCCTTCAGAGTGCAGGCACTGTACTTCCCATCTATAGGACTCAAGTCCGGCCTGCCGGTTTCCCTGAACCCCTTCATAAATGTTACTTTGCTCACACTCCAACAGCACGTCAAGTATTAAAACCCACTTGTCTCCATTCTCTCCTATCAAACACGCTCACGCATGCCTGCTGGAAGTCCAAGCCCCTCGCACACAAAACCTCCTTTACCCCCTCCCTCCAACCTTTCCTAGGCCGACCCCTACCCCGCCTTCCTTCCACTACAGACTGATACACTCTTGAAGTCATTCTGTTTCGCTCCATTCTCTCTACATGTCCAAACCACCTCAACAACCCTTCCTCAGCCCTCTGGACAACAGTTTTGGTAATCCCGCACCTCCTCCTAACTTCCAAACTACGAATTCTCTGCATTATATTCACACCATACATTGCCCTCAGACATGACATCTCCACTGCCTCCAGCCTTCTCTTCGCTGCAACATTCATCACCAATGCTTCACACCCATATAAGAGCGTTGGTAAAACTATACTCTCATACATTCCCCTCTTTGCCTCCAAGGACAAAGTTCTTTGTCTCCAGAGACTCCTAAGTGCACCACTCACCCTTTTCCCCTCATCAGTTCTATGATTCACCTCATCTTTCATAGACCCATCTGCTGACACATCCACTCCCAAATATCTGAATACATTCACCTCCTCCATACTCTCTCCCTCCAATCTGATATCCAATCTTTCATCACCTAATCTTTTTGTTATCCTCATAACCTTACTCTTTCCTGTATTCACTTTCAATTTTTTTCTTTTGCACACCCTACCAAATTCATCCACCAATCTCTGCAACTTCTCTTCAGAATCTCCCAAGAGCACAGTGTCATCAGCAAAGAGCAACTGTGACAACTCCCACTTTATGTGTGATTCTTTATCTTTTAACTCCACACCTCTTGCCAAGACCCTGGGGAGAAATCAGAGTGGGGAAGTGTCACGAGCGGTGTTCCACAGGGGTCAGTGTTGGGCCCCCTGCTGTTCACAATCTACATAAACGACATAGATGAGGGCATAAAGAGCGACATCGGCAAGTTTGCCGATGACACCAAAATAGGCCGTCGAATTCATTCTGACGAGGACATTCGAGCACTCCAGGAAGATTTGAATAGACTGATGCAGTGGTCGGAGAAGTGGCAGATGCAGTTTAATATAGACAAATGCAAAGTTCTAAATGTTGGACAGGACAATAATCATGCCACATATAAACTAAATAATGTAGATCTTAATATTACGGATTGCGAAAAAGATTTAGGAGTTCTGGTTAGCAGTAATCTGAAACCAAGACAACAGTGCATAAGTGTTCGCAATAAAGCTAATAGAATCCTTGGCTTCATATCAAGAAGCATAAATAATAGGAGTCCTCAGGTTGTTCTTCAACTCTATACATCCTTGGTTAGGCCTCATTTAGATTATGCTGCACAGTTTTGGTCACCTTATTACAGAATGGATATAAATTCTCTGGAAAATGTACAAAGGAGGATGACAAAGTTGACCCCATGTATCAGAAACCTTCCCTATGAGGATAGACTAAGGGCCCTGAATCTGCACTCTCTAGAAAGACGTTAGAATTAGGGGGGATATGATTGAGGTGTATAAATGGAAGACAGGAATAAATAAAGGGGATGTAAATAGTGTGCTGAAAATATCTAGCCTAGACAGGACTCGCAGCAATGGTTTTTTTTAAGTGGAAAAATTCAGATTCAGGAAGGATATAGGAAAGTACTGGTTTGGTAATAGAGTTGTGGATGAGTGGAACAAACTCCCAAGTACCGTTATAGAGGCCAGAACGTTGTGTAGCTTTAAAAATAGGTTGGATAAATACATGAGTGGATGTGGGTGGGTGTGAGTTTAGACTGATAGCTTGTGCTACCAGGTGGGTTTTGCCGTGTTCCTCCCTTAAGTCAATGTGACCTGACCTGACTAGGTTGGGTGCATTGGCTTAAGCCGGTAGGAGACTTGGACCTGCCTCGCATGGGCCAGTAGGCCTTCTGCAGTGTTCCTTCGTTCTTATGTTCTTCTTATGTTCTTATTTACTTCTCTTACAACTCCATCTATAAATATATTAAACAACCACGGTGACATCACACATCCTTGTCTAAGGCCTACTTTTACTGGGAAATAATTTCCCTCTTTCCTACATACTCTAACTTGAGCCTCACTATCCTCGTAAAAATTCTTCACTGCTTTCAGTAACGTACCTCTTACACCATACACCTGCAACATCTGCCACATTGCCCTCCTATCCACCCTGTCATACGCCTTTTCCAAATCCATAAATGCCACAAAGACCTTTTTAGCCTTATCTAAATACTGTTCACTTATGTGTTTCACTGTAAACACCTGGTCCACACACCCCTACCTTTCCTAAAGCCTCCTTGTTCATCTGCTATCCTATTCTCCGTCTTACTCTTAATTCTTTCAATAATAACTCTACCATACACTTTACCAGGTATACTCAACAAACTTATCCCCCTATAATTTTTGCACTCTCTTTTGTCCCCCTTGCCTTTATACAAAGGAACTATGCATGCTCTCTGCCAATCCCTAGGTACCTTACCTTCTTCCATACATTTATTAACCCTTAAATGGTCCAAACGTATATATACGTTTTTTCAACATCTGAAAGTATGTAATAAAATGTAGATCTTCTTTTTTGTTTTACATTTGAAAACGTTTAAAAAAAACTTTTATCTACATTTTTTTTTTTACAATTGAAAATGTTAAAAAAAGTAGATCTACTTTTGTAGCACTACGAATTTGAACGTCGATTTGTTTGGACCATTTAAGGGTTAAATAATTGCACCAACCACTCCAAAACTATATCCCCACCTGCTTTTAACATTTCTATCTTTATCCCATCAATCCCGGCTGCCTTACCCCCTTTCATTTTACCTACTGCCTCACGAACTTCCCCCACACTCACAACTGGCTCTTCCTCACTCCTACAAGATGTTATTCCTCCTTGCCCTATATACGAAATCACAGCTTCCCTATCTTCATCAACATTTAACAATTCCTCGAAATTTTTCCCTCCATCTTCCCAATACCTCTAACTCTCCATTTAATAACTCTCCTCTCCTATTTTTAACTGACAGATCCATTTGTTCTCTAGGCTTCCTTAACTTGTTAATCTCACTCCAAAACTTTTTCTTATTTTCAACAAAATTTGTTGATAACATCTCACCCACTCTCTCATTTGCTCTCTTTTTACATTGCTTCACCACTCTCTTAACCTCTCTCTTTTTCTCCATATACTCTTCCCTCCTTGCATCACTTCTACTTTGTAAAAAACTTCTCATGTGCTAACTTTTTCTCCCTTACTTCTCTCTTTACATCATCATTCCACTAATCGCTCCTCTTCCCTCCTGCACCCACCTTCCTGTAACCACAAACTTCTGCTGAACACTCCAACACTACATTTTTAAACCTACCCCATACCTCTTCGACCCCATTGCCTATGCTCTCATTAGCCCATCTATCCTCCAATAGCTGTTTATATCTTACCCTAACTGCCTCCTCTTTTAGTTTATAAACCTTCACCTCTCTCTTCCCTGATGCTTCTATTCTCCTTGTATCCCATCTACCTTTTACTCTCAGTGTAGCTACAACTAGAAAGTGATCTGATATATCTGTGGCCCCTCTATAAACATGTACATCCTGAAGTCTACTCAACAGTCTTTTATCTACCAATACATAATCCAACAAACCACTGTCATTTCGCCCTACATCATATCTTGTATACTTATTTATCCTCTTTTTCTTAAAATATGTATTACCTATAACTAAACCCCTTTCTATACAAAGTTCAATCAAAGGGCTTCCATTTTCATTTACACCTGGCACCCCAAACTTACCTACCACACCCTCTCTAAAAGTTTCTCCTACTTTAGCATTCAGGTCCCCTACACAATTACTCTCTCACTTGGTTCAAAGGCTCCTGTACATTCACTTAACATCTCCCAAAATCTCTCTCTCTCCTCTACATTCCTCTCTTCTCCAGGTGCATACACACTTATTATGACCCACTTTTCGCATCCAACCTTTACTTTAATCCACATAATTCTTGAATTTACACATTCATATTCCCTTTTCTCCTTCCATAATTGATCTTTCAACATTACTGCTACCCCTTCCTTTGTTCTAACTCTCTCAGATACTCCAGATTTAATCCCATTTATTTCCCCCCACCGAAACTCCTCTACCCCCTTCAGCTTTGTTTCGCTTAGGGCCAGGACATCCAACTTCTTTTCATTCATAACATCAGCAATCATCTGTTTCTTGTCATCCGCACTACATCCACGCACATTCAAGCATCCCGGTTTTATAAAGTTTTTCTTCTCTTTTTTAGTAAATGTCTACAGGAGAAAGGGTTACTAGCCCATTGCTCCCGGCATTTTAGTCGCCTCATATGACACACACTGCTTACTGAGGAAAGATTCTTTTCCACTTCCCCATGGACAATAGAAGAAATAAAGAAGAACAAGAGCTATTTAGAAAAAGGAGAAAAACCTAGATGTATGAATATATATATGCATGTGCGTGTTTGTGAAGTGTGACCAAAGTGTAAGTAGGAGTAGCAAGATATCCCTGTTATCTAGCATGTTTATGAGACAGAAAAAGAAACCAGCA